GGCAACGGCACCGTGGGCGTCGGCAGCGCCGCACCACAGCTGCCCCTCAACCTTTTGCCCAAGATGGGCGTGGCGTCCTCGATGGGCATCGCTGCCCCCACGGCCGCCGAGCTCGACGCGGCGTCGGGACCGGGATCGCAGAACGGGCACGGCGAGATGCGGTCCGTCAGCCAGCCTGGCCCGTCATACGGCGAGCGCGTGCACAAGATCCGACAGGCGAGGCAGAGCGCCTCGACGCTCAAATGAGCAGGCCGGCCGTCGGCGACCCGCGGCATGGCGCCACGTGCTTCATCTCCCCGCGCTGCTTGCCTTTTTCGTGTGCTCCGAGTCTCTTTTCCTCTGCTTTGCCTCGTGGCCACGCCCCGCCCATCTCGCCCTTTTTTTTTGTCTCCGCACACTCTTTCGAGGTGCCAGCGTCGATCCGATGCCTGCCTACTTGCGCACCGGCGCCACCAAGATCACCACCGGCACACACCTTCCTTCCTTTGTTCAGTCTTTTCATCTCTCGCCGTCTCTTCGTCTATTCTTCTGTCTGTCTCTATCCACGCTCCCTTTATCTCTCTGTGTCCCTCTTTTTCTACATCTCCTTCGTCTTCGTCTGCGCCTTTATTCTCACGAGCGTCCATACCAGGATGCTTCTGCTTGCGCATCCGCTTCCGCTTGCGCTTTCGTCTGCGCACGCGCATCTCGCCATCTTACCAGGTTGCTTCTGCTCCTCGACCCCTAGAAGGTCGTGTAGGCCCGCAGACGGCTCTGCAGAGCCAGCTTGCCGACGTCAGTCTTGTCGCCACCAAACAGCTCCCACACGTGCGGGAAGCCGGGCAGGACGTGGAGCTCGACCTGGATGTTTTCGTGGATCATCCTGCGCGCCAGCTCGAGGTCCTCGTGGACAAAGATGTCGAGGTTGCCCGTCTCGAGGTACATTTCCGGCAGGCCGGCGTACGACGCTGCGCGCGCGGGCGCGGCGTGCGGCGAGACGTCGTGCCTCGACTCGTGGCCCTCGCCCAGCAGGGCGTTCCAGGCCTGGACGTTGGAGGCGATCTTCCAGTTGGCGAGGTCGTCGAGCTGCGGGTTGGGCTTGGTGTTGCGGTCGTCGATCATGGGGTACACGACGATGATCTTGGCCAGGGGCGGGGAGAGGTTCTCGTCGCGCGCCTTGAGCGCCACGCCGAGCGCCAGGCCGCCTCCGGCCGACTCGCCCGACACTGCGATGCGCGCCCTGTCGATGCCGAGCGCGTCGGCGTGGGCGTGGAGCCAGAGCAGACCGTCGTAGCAGTCGTCGACGAGCGAGGTGCCGTTGTGCTCGGGCGCCAGCCGGTAGTCGACCATAAAGGCCGAGATGCCAGTCTGCTCGACGATGGGCATGATGGCGGCCTTTGTGTCAAACGCGTCGAGGGTGACGAAGCCTCCGCCGTGCAGCTGCAGGATGGCGGGCCGGCCCTGGCCATGGCCCCTGGCCTCGCCCTTGGCCTCGCCCTCGGTGCCGCGCTTGGTGAGTTCGAGGAGCTTGATCGTCGCGCCGTCGCGCAGCTCGAGGTCGTGCACGGTCTCGACGATGTCGTCGAAGCGGCCGAGCGTGGCCAGGGCGCCCTTGATGAGGTCCGACGACTGCTTCCGCCGCGTCTCGAGGGGGACGAGGTGGGCCTGACTGGCGCCCATCCGCACGCCTGCCAGCGCATCGCCTGCAGCGGCGGCCAGCTGTGGATCGAGCGAGAGCGGCATGGCGAGCACTGGTGACGGCCTTCGTCGTCGACGGCGGTCAAGGATGCTGCGGCGGTGGTCGGAGGAGACGGGGTGGTGATGGTCGAGCACGTGGTGGCGGTGACTGCTGCTACCTCACCGACAGCCAGGATGGAGGTCGAGAAGCAGGCTGAGCGAGCCGGACGCTCCGAGTAACTGCAGCTCAGAGCGGTGCAGCGAGGCTGGGTCCAGGGGGGTGGAATGAAAGCGAGAGGGTGCTATCAACTTGCAAAGGCGGCCAACGATGCGGTGGGGAAGGGGGTTGGCACGCACAGACCGACTCGATCGGCTGGGGTGGGGGCGACGCGGGTGCGGGCGGGGCCGTGGTAGGCGGCGCCTGCCTCCGACGCCAGCACCGGGGGGATCCGATCCGTCTGTCGGCCGTGAGCTTCCTGGCGCGCAAACCCGTCCTCCTGCCTGCAGCAGACAAAGACCTGGCCGCTGGACGCTACCGCAATCAATGTACGGCCGAGGCGCAACGACGCCGTTCTAGCTTCGCGATGCGGCCACCGCCGTCAGAAGTGGCTCAGCTAGCCTTTGGCGCGACAGAGGTACGGCGGATGCGCTGCCGACAAGCTTTGACCATCGACGACGCCGAGGAGTCGCGTCGCCGTCGACATCGGAATTCCTCCGATGCTTGGCGGTGGTCGCTGGCCTCCCTCTGATTCCCGGGAGACGAGCGAGTGTAGGTACAGTAGTGGCTGCGGCCCAGAGAAAGAGGGCGTGGTCAGTAGCCTGCGACCCTGACGGAGCATGCATCGATGCTCCCCGCTTTGTGCCACACCTCTTGCTTGCACCGTTGCGCTGCATTGTCCTGCGCGCGCCTTTACCCGGCCGGCGGTCCCACGGGTCTGCAGTAGAAGGAGCTGCAAGGTACCAAGGCGTCGATCGTTGCCCTTGTCGATCGAGTGTACGCGCGTGTGTGTAACACTTTCCAGAGACCGGTGCGCCCGCTTCCAGCTTGGCGGGGCAGACGAGCGATAGTCACGCGTCCAGCGAGATACACTGGTGAATCTCGATGCACCGGCTCGTCGCGACAAGAGTGTAGAAGCGCTAGTGCTAAGCACACGCTCGCGGCCGCAGCATCGGGGCCTGTCCCACCGCCAGTCTTGATTCGGCTTCGACGGCAAAAGAGACGATCAGGCCCACTGCGATACCCACGCCATCTCTCGAGCGGTGGAGAGTGAGGGATCAGCAAGCATCGTCCGCCTCGTGTCATCGACCATCAACATCGGCATCGAGGCGAGCCTGATGCGAAGGCGCTACTACTTTGTCCCTTGCTCGGCCTTTCTCGCGGGCCAGGCGGAAGCAAGCAGAGAGCCGGCCTGGCCTGGCTGGCCTGCCTGCCGCCCTGCTTGCGGCGGGTACGTGTATGTAGTCGTGCAGACCGGCTCTGCCTGCAGCGTGGTACCACAAGGCGCGCCTTTGACCTCGACGCAGGCCGACGACCGACGACGGCGAGGACGACCCTGAACAGGCGCCTGCCTGTCCAGCTGGCGAGCAAGTCCCAGCCGCCTCTTTGTCCCTCATCGGGCAAGCCTAGCTTTGCCGCCTTCGGGCGATTCGGCCCAGAGCCGGCCGGGCCATGGCCAAGCCTCAGCCGTGGCAGTTCCGAGACCTCCCCTTGAAAAGCGGCTGGGCGGCCGGGCATTATTTGAGACCGGGGTCGACGCCGATGGCATCCCATCGAATCGATGCCGGCCAAGGCCTCCGCCGGCTAACCGACGTAACCTTACCCGCCTCCTGCCGCCCTGCTGATACCCTTCCTACCCGGCCCGCCCGCGGCGTGAGCTGGGCGGCGGCATCGTTCGTTCGCTCAACCTCGCTCGGCACGGCCCGCCCGCGACCGCTCCGCCTCCCTTGCGCCCCTCTTGCTTTGCGCCCCGCCCAGAGACGGGGCAGCTCCCGGGGGCGTAACCGAGGCGAGCTAAGGCCCCCTTCGGCCCGTCTGGCCATGCACTCGATATTCGAGGCCAACGCAGCGTATGCACAGCGAGCACTCTCGTGCCTGCTCTGACATCGGCCACCTCTCGCTCCCAGCACCACGGCGGGCCAAGAACAGGGCCAAGTCCGAGCTCGTGGTGCGCGGTTTCGGTAGCCTTGCCTTGGCTTGCTTTGCTTGTTGCCTTCGTGGAGTGACTCCAGGCACATGCTCGCTCCCTACCTAGCATGCACGCTCTAGCAGCTCTTCCCACACTCTCTGCGGGAAGTGCAGCGCTGCAGTCGGCTACTCGGCGGCAGAGGATCTGCTCTCTGTTGTGTGTAGAGTGCCACAAGGGACATCCGCCCGCCTTCCAGACAGACACACAACAAGAACAATGACGGCAATCTGCCGTGCCTGCTTAGCTTGTTCTGTCTCCTCTGTGTGTATGGCCGTGCCTGGCAGATGAACCGCACCCTCGCTTCTTCTGTGCTACCTACACTAGCTAGAGGCTCCTACGCAAACTCGTGCACGCACCAAGCTCGGCGACGACGTGCGCTTGAGCTTCCGTGAACACAGCAAAGCAAGCTTGTAAGCAGCGAGTGCCATCGTGGCGGGCAGCGGGGCAGAGGGAGCGCACAGCGGCAGAGCAAGGCGCGACCAGGCGAGCGACCACTCAAAGTCGTCGATCTGTAGCGAGAACATGCCCCCTCGAGGGCGTGCGTGCGGCGACAAGCTGATCTCCGCAGGCGGAGCGCCAGGCGATGGCGCCGCTCGCTCGCTACTTGCTCGCCTCCATCGCAGGCGTTGGCCCGCTCGTTCGCCTCCGCTGGCCTCTTCCTCGAGGTACAGCACTGCACGCTACCGCTCTCGTCGTTTGCCTTGGCTGTGATGCCAGGCCGGAGCTTTTTTTTCTTTGGTGGCCGGTATGTCTTACCTCCCCGTCCCTCTTCTCGCCGACAAGCACAGAGCAGGCGACACCTGCACTCGAGTGGCGGCGGCCTCTTTGTGCATACCGTACCGAGGATGATCGGAAGACTCGACGCCGCCGACCGACCTCCAAGGGGGGCCCTCGAGGCCTCTTATAAGTACTCATCCTCGACTCATCGGCTCATGCCATCAAGGGTCAATGCCGTCCGCCCCCTACCCCCGTTGACGCCGCCGCCACAGCCTTCGCCCCTTTGCCCGCCCACCGCCGTGGTAACCCTGCCCGACTCTCCGATATCCTGCCGGCATGAAGACGCCAACCTCGCTCTCCGCCGCCCTCGTCCTGTCCGTCCTCGCAGGCGCAGGCCTGGCCACCTCGCTCCCCTCGACCCCAAGAGGTAAGTCTCGCGCCCAACGCCGCTGCGCGCTTGCCGCACCGAGCCGCCAATCCCGACCTCTCAGGACGCAAAGGAACCGACGACGTCGACCTCTTCGTTTCCTACCCCTCGTCAACCGCAGATGGCCAGCAGCCGCACGTCGTTCAGCGCGCCGCGTCGAGCTCCGGCTGGACGCCACCGCCAGTCTCCGATGGTTCGCGCCCAGCCTCGCTCGACGGCATGGGCCGCAGCCTGTGGATCAACAACTCCAACGAGTGAGCAGTGACAGCACATCCCCGGAGCTGCCTGTGCTGCGATCGCGACGGCTGACCCCGTCTGGACATCTCCCTCGCGCTCGTCTCTGTCCAGCTTCTGCCTCCTGATGCCGCCCAACCCCGTCAAGCAGGACATCGTCGGGGCGCTCGACAACGCGGTGTGAGTGGCGGGATCGCCAGCCCGGCCAGAGCGCTTCGGGACGAGGCCACCGTTCTGACCGCGAGCGACGCCGCTGCCCACTTTGACTCGACTCGCCCATCTCGACGCCGGCGCAGCTCGTACTGCATCAACCCGGTCAACGACACGCGGCCGATGCCCGATGGTTTCCTCAAGACGGTTCACTACCGCCACAGCGACAAGTGGACCCAGGTCACGGGCACCTACGACCCCGGTGCCATGCACCTATCGCCCGACGACTGCGGCAGCGAATGTGAGTGCAGCGCGTGGGCAGACGTCGCGGCCGAGCCTCGCCCAGAGCTCTCTCGAAGCACCTCGCCAGGCCATCTGCCGCCTTTGGGTACGGGCCGCTGACCGTAACCCCCTCCCCCTCCCGCCTTGGCCACGCTGGCCCCCTCTTTTCCGCCGCTAGACGACTCGGTCGCGCCCAAGGGCGTCAAGCTGTCGGATGGCAAGTTCTTCTTTCAGTTCCTCGGCGGGTGCGGCGGGACGGGGTCGGGCGGCACCTTCTGCATGCGCATCTGCGACGACTACGACTACTGCTCGAGCGCCTACGACCAGCTGGGCTGCGCCTACGTCGCACCGGGCGACTATGAGCAGCCGCGCGCCTTTACCGAGTGCGAGGCCGACGCCGACGACCCGGTCATGGTCTACTCGGGCACGTCGACCTTCTACCAGGGCATGAAGCCGACGCCGCCGCCGCGGAGCGCGCCCAAGTCGTCGTCGTGCAGCACGTGGGCGTCGCCGACGCCGTCGGGCGTGACGTACAGCTGGGCGCAGACGTCGTCGCGGCGGCCGTCCAAGGGCAGCGCATCGGCCAGCAGCGCGCTCCCGACGAGGCCGGCCACGCTCGTATTCCCGAGCAACGGCTCGTCGTCGTCGCCTTCATCGTCGACCGGGTCCGCCCCGCCGTCGGACTCGACTGCAAGGCCAACGGGCGCCACTCCCACGCCATCGTCGCAGCAGCAGACCAACGGCGGGCGTTCCGACGTCCAGCTTGGCGGGGCCGCGCCGCTTGCCGCCATTGCAGCCACGGCGCTCGCAGTGTTGCTGGGCAGCAGCTCGTATCTGGTCGCGGGGTTCCTGTTGCTCTAGGCTGCAGTGGTCCCAAGTTGTCACCTCGTCATCGTTTTGAGCTCGCGATACCCGCTACTGGAGCACCCAGCGCAATCTAGATATAGAGAGAGACCGGGTCAAAGGGCGTAGTTGTGTCGCAAGATGGGATCGAAGGGCTGGAGCCGTTCGAGGCGCTGTTGGTAGTCGAGCGGAGGAGGGACATGGCACACTGACTTGTGTGGGGCGACGACGACGTCGAGAGCGAGGCCGTCGACAGCGGACGGCGGGGGCGATGTCGGATCTCAGCACGGGTCAGGTCGCAGGCTGCGGGCAGAGGAGCGATCGACGGCGTCCGAGGCTGTAGGTGGCATTCCGCCGAAGCAGCCGCGACGCGGAGGCGACATTCGCAGGCCAGGCCAGACCGTTACCGGGCGCCCGGGTCAGCCAGCACCGAGGTGGCGTCGCTAGCTCTGGACCTCGATGCGCTATCTTGGGACGGAGCAGTACGTCGTTGCGGCCGTCCGTGTTGTGATGGCCGCCGCCGCCGTCGTCGTCGACGAGCAAGCACAGCAGCGAGGAGGGCCAAGGCTACAGGCTAGGCCAGGCCAGGCTGGCCCACGCTAGTGAAATGCCTGGCGCACGGTCCCTCTTCCGCCGAGGCTCGTTCCCTTTCGCCCGTAAACAAGCGGTCGCGGCGGGGAGCCCGGGCCAGCTGGCCCGCGCGGGGTCGGGGCGCTTTTGTTTTTCCCCCCCCTGCTGGCTGGCCAGCAAAGCAAGCCAGGCCCCAGCCCAACCCTCGGGCTGGCCCACGCTGGCCGCGGGTGCCGTGTCTGCTGTCGCTCGACTTTGCCGGCGCTGCCCTGCGTCCGTCTGACCCTGATTTGCCCAGCTTGGCCGGCTTGCCCTCCCGCTTGGCTGCCACGCGCGCCCGCCCGCCTGCCTCTTGCCGCTGGCCACCTCGTCCTACCGCCACCATCGTCACCACCACCACCACCGCCATTCCACCTCCGCGAGCGTCTTCATTCTTTCGACGTCGCTCGTCCCTTCCTCCCTCGCCTTCTTTCAAACGCTCTGGCCGCGCCATCTCTCCCTCCCCTTCTATTCGCCAGCCGAACCTGCACGCCTAGCGCTTGTCGGTCGCTGCCACGCCCCCTCTCTTCTTGGCCCTTCGCCCAACACTACCCACCGCTGAGCGGCACCATCTTCGCGACCGAGCCAGCCTCGTCCTACACACCGCCATCGCTACACGCACACTTGCACCACCCGCCACCCGCCACCCCCTACATCGAATACCTCGTCCGCACCGCGTGCGCCCTAGCACGGAACAGCTAGCTCGACAGTCGCCAACCCGTCCGATACCACCCACAGGCTGTCGTTCAGCCAACCACCTCGCCCTCGACCACGTCCAGAAGTTGCCTGGTGCCGCCCAACTGCCCCCTTCGCACAAACAAAGTGTCTGATCGGTACCGACGGCCGTCAGCGTCCCTCGCCACCGACCTCACCAGCTCGCCGCGCCCACCCGAACGAATCGCACCCCCGCAAGACCCCCTCGGTCCGACCCGTCCAGCCATGTCCGACTTTACCTCCCTGCGACCGCCCCTCTCGCCCTCGGGCGCCGGCCTCAACCGCGCAAGCCTCCCTGGCGGCTTTGGCGGCCCCCGTGGCCTCCGCCCCAGCTCCGAGATGCTCAACACGGGCCACCACGCCGGCACGCCCGAGTCCGAGGCCATCGACCGCTGGTTCGAGGACCTACAGCACTATGAGGCCACCCTCGAGGAGATGGCCGCCGCCTCGCTCGACCAGAACTTTAAAGAGGAGCTCAGCGCCATCGAGCAGTGGTTCCGCGTCCTCTCCGAGGCCGAGCGCACCGCCGCCCTCTACAGCCTGCTCCAGGAGTCGACCCAGGTCCAGATCCGCTTCTTTATCACCGTCCTCCAGCAGATGGCCAGCAGCGACCCCGTCACCGCCCTCCTCTCGCCCAACAACCCCAATACCTCGATGGTCGAGCAGATGGAGGCCAAGCTCGCCTCGCTCGGCCTCAAGTCGCCCGCCGGCAGCGCCATCAAGGCCCCCGCATCGCCCGGCGCCGGCGCCTCGAACCGCCACTACCAGCGCCAGTCGACCGACGCCGCCGGCTACCTCTCGCCCAACGTCGCCGCCATGTACAACAGCCAGAGCGGCAACGACGCCGCCTCGGCGCTCGCCGCACAGCGCGCCAGGCTCAAGGCCAACCGCACCTCGGCGCCCGGCACGCTGCGCGGCGAGAGCCGCAACTTTTCCGGCGGCAACCTCGACCAGGTCGCCGAGCAGCGCGCCATCGAGCGCAGCGCCTCGCCCGCCAGCGACGCCGCCTCGCGCCCCAAGTCAACCGACCTGAGCAACATGGCCGGCCGCTCGCCCCGCGTCACGGGCCCGCTCGACGACCAGCTCTCGCCCATCACCGCCACGGGCAACTGGTCCAGCATGGTCAACACGCCGCTCGTGCCCATGTTTAGCGAGCAGCAGATCAGTGGCGGCGGCGAGGCCAATGTCAACCTCGACGCCGCCGCCGCCCAGCTCGCCGGCCTCGGCCAGCACCACCACGCCTCGGACTCGTCGCGCGTCCTCATCGACCCGGACGTGTCCAAGTACCGCCGCAAGAGCGCGCAGAACGGCCAGGCGTCGCAGCAGCCGCAGCACCACCAGCAGCAGCACCAGCAGCAGCACCCGCACACGCACCAGCACCAGCACCAGAGCGGGCCGGGCCAGGTCCAGGGCGTCCTCTCCAACATGTACGACCTCCAGCACGGCGTCGCCAGCAGCCCCGGACTGTCGCCCAACATGGCCGCCCAGGCCGGCTGGGGCGCCAGCCCCCTCACCCCGCAGAACGCCGCCTTCGGAGGCGCAGGCAGCGGCGGCTTCAACATCGGTGCCATGAGCCCCAACGCGCTCGCCGGCCTCCAAAGCCCCACGGGCGGCATGTCGAACCCGCTCAACCTCCAGATGATGAACGCCATGGCCGCCATGAGCGGCCTCAACCTCAACAACATGAACGCCGCCCAGTTCCTCGCGATGCAGCAGCAGATCCTGCAGAACCAGCAGAGCCTCGCCGCCTTTGCCCAGCAGAGCCAGCAGGCTGGCGGTCACCGC